TTTTTGTTTATAGCATAGTTTATACAAATTATTCCCAAAAAAAAAAAAAATATATATATATATATATATATTTGTAAACGGTTATTTGTAATAATTTTTGTTTATTTACTTATATTTTTTTATTATGTATTTGTGTAAACCTTAACCAAAGTTGTAAGAGGAAATTCGCCTATTTTACTAATCTAGGGACTCCCTCTTTCCAAATTGAAAATCTACTTAAATTAAGTAGAATAAAATGAGTGAGGACATTGTCCAGTTAGAAAGAGACAGGAAATAGTTAGCAGTTGGAGAGACAGCTCCAGCCAGAGAAAGGCAGTTGAGTTGCAGACGCTGTCACAGAAAAAGTTGTTGTCGAACAAATTGGAGTCGCAGTCACAATCAGACAGACAGAGATCCAGAGAGTGAAACCAGGTGAGCATCAGAGAAAGAGTGGTTCAAGAGAGGACAACTCAAAAACGAGCAAGCACAAGACGAAGTGCAGTGAACACCAGAAACCTCCGCAGTCTTGGCCGTCAAGTCCACGTCACAAGAAAAGACATCTTGTTTATTTGGTATGTTGTGAGTCGCATGAATTTGAATACCCCCATTAGGCATCCCCTCGTTGTATAGATAAAAATAGGCAAATTTCCAAATTCAGGCTGTATAACTATGTTCTCAACTTTCGTTTATGTTAATAAATGTCCTCAAATTGCTTATATCTGACTCTGCATTCTTCCTCCTGAGAGGCTCATTCCTGAACTTCAGAGTGACTCTTACCCTCGCACCTTAATCATCCATTTTATCACAAACGGTGGTGTGTCTGATAAAACACACCCAGTGGCAGGACTCTACCTAAAAAGTGTTTAATAAACCTTTTATGGCCCCCAAACCCCACACTAAGTTAGAGATCAAGAATCCGTTCATTTTGGAAATAGATTTCATGGACAATATCTTTCTTATGATAAACATAATTTTGGTACATGTAAGCAAAATGATAATTTTGCTTACATGTACCAAAATTTAAAAAGCCTGATAAGGCTTTTTAAATTCCTTATATAATTTTAACAAAATTTCAAGTTATTTTTTATGAGGAAGGGGACATAGAAAAGAACTTTTTAAATTTAACATCAGACTTGTTTACTGTAGACATTCTGTATATAGACATAGGAGACTGGGGAGTCCCGAAATCATCAGATATTCGGATGCCATGTCCATATCATACAAAAATTTACCCTCATAAGTGCCCACGGCCGAAATCAAAGAATGGGTACAAGACCATGTTTATTACATCAAAAAGCCTTCAAGCATCTATACCTTCCGGAGGATGAAACAATGATGGGAGAAGCATGTTGCGACCACACTAATTTTACCACACACTGTTACTTGTGCGATGTCTTTTCGTATAAAGTTTATATGAACAAACACTGTAAATATTCTGAATTTTCCGGTAAATATATTTCATTATATAAAAATTGAAAAATTTGATTATATTTAATTTTTTACTTTGTAATGGTTTATAATTTGTGGATCTTTTGCAATGTTTCTCTTGTAAAGTGTTTATAAATTTTGAAAAATAAGAGTTTTTTTTTAGATTTTAAATATTTTTATTCATTGAGTTACAACATTAGTTATACATTATGGTAAGCAGACACACCAAATACAAATGTTGTTTAACAAACTTTTTTACAAATTCATCATAATAAAATTTATCAGTTATACTTAGTTCTTTTAAATGTTATTGTGAAAATCTGACTCTCTTATTAGAATTTTAAATAATATGAAAAAAAAATCTTATTTTTCTTTCGCCATTATTTCCGTTATTTCTCCCGTTTTCACCCTTTTGCCCGGGGATCAGACCCGGTGACCTCCTGTGCAGACAGAGTCGTCCGAGGCAACCGCAGAAGAACTCCCCTCTCCCCGGGAGATAGCTTGTTTGTTTTTGTTGATTAGTTGGTCTGCAGTCTAGTCAATGGACAGGGACGGACAGGTGTTCCTGTGTTGGGGGTGGACAGGACCATTAGATATTACATCACGTTACTGTGAAGACCACCACCCCCTCCAAAAATATCTATATATATATATATATATATTTGTAAATGGTTATTTGTAATAATTTTTGTCCATTTACTTATATTTTTTTTTATTATGTATTTGTGTAAACCTTAACCAAAGTTGTAAGAGGAAATTCGCCTGTTTTACCAATCTAGGGACTCCCCTTTTCCAAATTTAAAATCTACTTAAATTAATTAGAATAAAACAGTTTATTAACTAACTATCAGAAATCTCACAACATGCCAAAAAAAGAGGAAAAAGCAACCAAATAATCAAAAATTATAAAAGATATATATAGAAATGAGGAACATTGCATCCTCCTTTGTTTTCGGCAATGTTTACATGAAGAACTTGATCAAATCAATCAATGAACAAACAATGACTAAGAACAAAGATGAGTCATGTCGACTCAGAAGATGACTCTAAGAAAGCTGCAAGTCATCACCAAATAAGAAAGCACTGTCTCAGCTACAATGATGACACTGCCAATGAGTCATCACCCAATGATGAACTTTCTCATGCTGAAAGGTTTTAAAAGGAGAGCCCCAATCAGAGAAAAGTCAATCAGAAAGGAGGACATCAGCCAGTTAGAGAAAGTGCAGTCAGAGATAAGGACACAGTCCAGTTAGAAAGACAGTCAGAAAGAGACAGTGAGATAGTCAGCAGTTGTGGACACAGCTCCAACCAGAGGAAGAGTGGTTCAAGAGAAAACGACTCCAAAAACGAGCGAGCACGAGACTAAGTGCAGTGAACACCAGAAACCTCTGCAGTCTTGGCCGTCAAGTCCACGTCACAAAAAAAGACATCTTGTTTATCTGGTATGTTGTGAGTTGCATAAATTCGAATACCCCCCGTTAGGTACCCCCTCGTTGAATAAATAAGAATAGGCAAATTTCCAAAATCGGCTTTTATAATTCTGTTCTAAACTTTCGTTTATGTTAATAAATGTCCTTAAATTGGTTATATCTGACTCTGCATTCTTCCTCCTGAGAGGCTCATTCCTGGACTTCAGAGTGACTCTTACCCTCGTGCCTTAATCATCCATTTCATCACAAACGGTGGCGTGTCCGATAAAACACACTTGGTGGCAAAACTCTACCTAAAAAAGTACATAATAAATCTTTACAGCCCCCAAACCCCACATTAACAAGGATGGCCAGTCATCTCCCCAGGTGATGACGAATTTAATACTAATTGGTCAAAGATGTCTCTATAACATCATCACCCGTGACGGAGGAGACAGTCATAAATCGGAAAAACTGTCAAAATACGTCAATAAAATCCCAGATTTTTCCCACGCTAGTAAGTATAAAAGGAGAACGCTCCCGACGCCTCGAGGCGATCATCAAGGAAGAAGCAAGGATTTGGACTCTTCCAGCCTCCTCTGCCTTTGGAACTTCGTAGCTTCTGATCGCCGCTCAAAATCATGTAAAGACTCAGAATATTTTTGCTTCACTCTCGCTCGGTATACTCGGGACTTGGAAATTATTCGCTACTGTTATTTTTATTAGAACTTAGAAATATTGGGTCGAGGACCTTGGGCGGTCCCACCAACGAGAAAGACAGACATCGGCTGTCTGATATAGTCGCGACACGGAAATATTTTCATTACTACTTTCTTATTGTTTAAATTTAAGATGTACTCTTATGTATTTGTATTATTTGTTTTATATTAAATGTGTTGTTCTTAAGTTTAATGACTCTCTTTGAACATGATCGACACCTCATCACAACTTCACTACTCCTCCCACTCAATTAACAGAGCCATCCCTGACAACGAAGCCGGTAAGTGGGGAGATGCGCATCGCTCTACCCCCTCGGTTCACATTATTTTCTATATAAAATAAATAGAAATCAAACCAAAATATCTGCAATTCATCGAATATAAACTCTGATGAATAATATTATTACAACAACAATTTTTAATTTCATTTTATAAATTTAACAATTTTTAATTTTGATGGCTTAATTCCACAACTATCGTAGTAAAAACAGGTTTTTCTATTGAAGAATGCAGATACCCAATGACTTCCGGGCTTATTTTTTTCATCTAAATTAATTAGAAATGATTTTCGATTAGCAAAGCGAATGGGTACATCATCGGATGCAAAAACTCCTCCAAAACTCCTTTTTATTTTCAAATCACTCGACGCCAATCTCCATAACGTAATGGTATTCATTAATAATATACAAATACTGTTCTCGAATGATCAATTTCTACAGTATTATTATATTCAAGTAAACAAATAACGTTTGCAGTTTCTGATAATGCAGTTGCAAATTTTAATTTGATCGATATATTTCCTTTCTCACTGATGCTCACGTACAATTCTGATGCTGAACAATCAGGAGTAAGATCAAAACAATATAAAGTATAACCGTCTTCATAATCCTTATAAGATATATTTGTAAATTTATGGTAATTAATACATCCTATTTCTTCGAATAATGATATAAAATTTCTCGCGTATCTGTTATTTCTATAATCAGGAGTATAAGGTTTCCGAGGAATCATTTGGTTGTCTTTTAATAAGCATATATAATTTAAATTGTAATTTTTAAAATTGAAAGGATTATATTTTACATTTCCATTAAATGCCAAATTACAAACTAAACCGATTGTCATTCTATAAGGTAAATGACCAATAAGAATATTTGAAATATAACTCCCATCACTAACAAATAATATAAAAGCAAGAGGTTTACTTTCGTTATTTAATTCTTTATTGACTTTTCTCCATGCACATCTTACTCCAGCAAAAAAAAAAAAAAAGTCTATGAAAGGTAAGTTGAAATCCCTCTACCTTTGATTTTTAAATAAGAAAATTAAATTCATTTTTTTCATAGTTATTCATCTTTTTTATAGATACACAATTGCTATTTGTTATTGTGAGCCCGAGGGTTTACAGGGCGTAAATTTTTGATTTTAACATATTTTTACATTACAGGATGAAAAAATTTTATCACACGTTATAACGGAAATAGATCGAATGTCGAATCTTACACATCGTCCGTTTGTTAATTAGTCAACGTGCGCGTGATAATTAGTCAGCATAACGAGTGAACGACCTGTTGGCTCAGTGCCAACGATGATCATATAAAAACAATTGTCACGGGAAGTTCCGGGCGATCATCTGGAAGGTATGAATACAGTGTCTCCCATCCCGATCCTGTCCAAGGAGAAGCCGGTAGAAGATATAAGCCTGTGACAGACAGCCAGCTTCCATAGTCCAGGATGATCGTCGCATACTGTCCTCCAACATAAGGTATAATTGACAGCCAATATAACTCACTCTAGAGCCTTTGTAAACTCTCTCACGAGGCATAGTGAATAGTTAGAGTGATTATAGATATATTTGTATTTCCGCATCTAGGCAATAATCAGTAACTTGTATACTCCTGTAAATTACTTTAGTTATAGAATAAACATTTATTTTGTTATTTGTTAAATCTGTCTCCTCTCTATCCGAGGAAACCTGTCGACTTACCATCGCACTCCCCACTCGTTTTGCCCTCCTAGCCATCTGAACAACTCCGAGATCGGGCTTTACCAGCCTGTGCAGAGTAAGTGGTCAGTACCAGATTAACCCCTGACCCACTGCATATCTCACATTATTGACAACTCGTTCATAACTAAAAAAAAACGGTGAAAATTCATGATGCAACAACGGAAAAAAATAAATATGATTTAATTATTTCTAAAGACAAACCATGTTTTAAATCAATCCCACCATATTCGATATATATATATCCTAAAATGGACCAGTGTAAACAGTGTGCAAGTTACATGAATCTGATTGAAGATGATAGAAACAATGCCAAAACTGGGTTTGACAGACACACAAAAGAAAAAGAATTAAGCAGAAAAGAGAAGGACAGTGGTAAGAATTGCACCAATTCCTCATTCCAAGTATCATATTTTGATCTGCAAGCTGCTCTGCCTACTCCACGTGGAGTTTTATCATTTTACTACAAGTCCAAATTGTCCACCTACAACCTCACAATTTGTGACTTGAAGAAAGATGGGCTGGATGATGTCTACTGCTACCAATGGCATGAAGGCAATGGAAAGAAAGGTGCTACTGAAATTGGAACATGCTTGTTAAAATTTTTAGAAGAAAAAGCTGCTGCATGCAAAACAAATGAATTAGAAATAACACTGTATTCAGACAATTGCTGCAGACAGCAAAAAATAAATACATTGTTGTCTGTTACTTGTACGCCATGTCAAGATTTCAAATTAAAAGGATAACACACAAATTTCTTGTTGTGGGACACACGAAACGAAGGTGATTGTGTTCACTCTAATATAAAAAAGTATTTGACGATCACTAAAATCACATCCAATCTACGTCCCATCGCAATATGCAATGTTAATTAGAATGGCAAGAAAAACAGGCAAATCTTTTCAACTGTTCAAAATGGGATACAGTGAAGTTGTTGAGGTAAAAAACCTCACAGATAGGACATCTCAATTTTGTTGTTAACACTGACAATGATAAAGTCCACTTCAACAACTTTTCTGTACTGAAAGTAGAAAACCAATCATTAGATTCTTTAAAAGACGTTTTTTAAAAAAAGCAGAGTTTAAAACTATAAACATCAAAACCTCAAGTTTCCAGGAGTTTGCAGTTGTTTCAGTAAGTAACACTGAAAAAAGCATACAGCAAACCTCTTCCAATATTTATGAAATTTGACGATCTACAAAGTTTGATTGCCAGCAATGCAATACCAAGATGTTATTCAACATTTTACAACAACCTAACATTTGAATCCTAAGAATAGGTCTCACTTTAAAACTTTCATAAAGTTATGAATTTCCGTGGTACTGTTTCTCGTTTACGTTGTGTTGATTAATAATGTAGTATTGAAACATTCATGTATTAATAATTCGTTTACATCATTAATAAAGCTTACGTTTTTGCCTGTACATTCATTTCATAAGCCACCAACCTCCAGGATAGTCCAACATAATGTATTAGAAACATTCAGCAATAGTGTCACATCTCAAAACATCGGTACTGGGAACAACAAGGAGGGTGAGGGGATACAATTTTTATGATGATATTATTAATTGAACCCTTACGGAGCCATTTAGTACATTTAACACTTATTCCATCAATGAATCCTGTGAATGATGCATTTCAATACAAGGTGAAACTTCAAACTCATTTATCTCAAAACTTGATTTTTTGGAGTTATGCCACTATTGCAGTCCACAATCAATGTATGTAACCATTTTAAGCTACTTCTGCTGGAAGAAGTTGATGTATCAACTACCTGAAGTTGGCCTTTCCAGCTTCCAGACAGATGTAGATGGACTGGGATATACTATTCACTGATTATAAAGTATTTCCTTCAGAACAAAATTATTTCAGATTTGCCACATAAAATTTTAAACTCTTCAGAAGAAGAAACTTCTGATATAGAAAAGTATAATCAGTATCAATAAGAAAAATAAAACAACTCAAGGGTAACCTCATCAGAAGCTAGTTTATGTCAACTTTCTGACATAGGTGTTTCATCGTATGCTTTCTAATTGTCAGTAGTGAGACCTTTCCTGTGACTTTTAGACACCTCTGAAATTTTTGCTGTCTTAACGTAAAAAGGAATAGCCGATTCAAATCAGTCATCACTTGTTCCTCCAACTGTTCAGATTAGTGTTTGTGTGCCTTCTTATGAGCCACTGAGATTTACAATTGTGTACTTCATCTATATTTATGCTCGAGTACTATCCAACTC